AAGAGAAAAAAAAAGAATCAAATAAAAGGAAGAGTCCGGTAAATCAAAAGGGGAACATGAGGAAGGGAAAAATTAGTGAAACCCATTCCAATTCTGATTCGGATTTTATTAGTGAATCAAAAAAGAAAAAAAATCAATCAATGTAGAAGTTGGTGAATCTTTACAGCCATCAACAAGAAGAACATAAAAAAAAGCCAAAAAAATTGTTAGGGTAAGCACATTATTCAAACTACTGATTTTGACTATATGTCTCTTGAAAACATTTGTTATATGAAACGTGTATGAAATATGATTTATATGTGTATGTCCTTTGACTTTAATGATTGATTGTTTGATATATGTTAATGTGATATAATAGTGATAATGGTATGAATTATGTTTTGAGTGATTGTATATTAACCTTTGTTTATGATATAAAGTATTAAATTTGTATGAAAATGGTATGAAATATAAAACTAGTGATTTTTGCTAAAAAAAAATCACATTATGGTTGTGTTTTTAGTATAAACACACTTCTTGAAATGAAACATGCATGAATTATGATTAATATATGTATGAATGTGATTAAATAAGGTTGATTGTTTGATTTGTGCGAATTGTGATATAATAGGTATACCAATGGTATAAATTTTGTTTTAACACTTTTTGTGTGAATTTGGATGAAACATGTATGAATTATGATTAATATATGTATGAATGTGATTAAATAAGGTTGATTGTTTGATTTGTGTGAATTGTGATATAATATGTGTATACAAATGGTATGAATTCTATTTTAACACTTTTTGTGTGAATTTAGATAAAAACCGTATGAATTCTGATTAAAACTAGTGATTTTTGCTAAAAAAAAATCACATTATGGTTGTTTTTTTTAGTATAAACACACTTCTTGGAATGAAACATGTATGAATTATGATTAATATATGTATGACTGTTATTAAATAAGGTTGATTGTTTGATTTGTGTGAATTGTGCTATAATCGGTGTATACAAATTGTATGAATTCTATTTTAACACTTGTTGTGTGAATTTGGATGAAACCTATATGAATTTTGATTAATAATCTTATGACCATTGACTTCAATGTTTTTATTGATAGATTTGTATGAATTGTGGTATATATATATATATATATATATATATATATATATATATATATAATGGTATGAATTATTTGATTAGATGAATTATGAATGTTTATATGAAACTTTTAAATGAATCATGTGTGGTATAATCGTTATATAGTGTTGAAATGAAACTTGAATAAGATTTGTGTAAAGTTTGTTTTAGTTTTGTATAAACAATGTTATTTTATAGGAAAGGAAGGTACACACATTGGTTTGTACAAACATGAATGTGTTCAGTGATCTCGTTACTTTCCTCGGCCAAGACAGGTTCCAAAAATTCTTGGAACAAACACCATTGGGTGTATTCTATGAGATAAACAACTTAAAGATTCAATGTCAATTATTGCGATATTTATTTCTTCTTGAAGCTGAAAATGTCAGAGATGACATGTTTATTGTTAAAATAAACAACACAGAACTACGATTTGGATTAAAGGAATTCGTAGCAGTTACCGGTCTTAAATGTGGCCTACTTTCAGAATTTGTGTCAGACTCGTCTATTCCAAATAGACTTATCACAACATATTTTGGTGCAATGACCAAAGTCCCCAAATTACTTTTCTTGAATAAGTTTAAAGAGCGAAACTCTTTTGAGGATGAAGACCGCTTTAAGATCGGTGTTTTGTACTTTATTAGTACATTTTTTACTGCTTCTGAGGTCTCAAAAACTTCAATTCCCAAATTATATTTTGATTTGGTTGAGTCCGGTCAATATACATGCTACCCATGGGGTAATGAATGTCTCAGATTGACACTCAAAGCTTGCAGCCATAGGTTGAAAAGGAATCCTACATCATTCAAATTTAGCCAATTCCACCTAGCATTGCAGATATGGTTTTATGAGTGTTGTCATCTATTTGACAACAAAATTGCTATTCGTGTTGCAATGGTCACACCGCGTATTCTCAATTGGAAGACATCGAATGAGATTATTTTCTTCGATGACTTAAAGCAATTAGAAATATGTTAAATAATATTAACTTTCCATTCCAAAGATACTACAAATTTCATCCTAAAAAATCATTGTAATAACAACACGCTCGTCTTTATTTTTTTATATAGATATAATCCATACAGTACATTACAAACAATTTTCATACTCATTTAACACACATTTCATACAAAATTCATCATTCATTCAAACTATATACATTTTCGTACCCAATAATTAATTACTGTCACCCAACTTTATACAAAAATAACAAAACTAATATAAACTCAACAATTTCACATTTAATACCAACTTAAAACACTTGTCATACACTTCATCAAAATTTCAAAAAAACTTTTTTACATATTTCTTAACACACTTTCATACATAATTCATTCGACTTATTCTATCAAATTCATTATCGACTTAAATCACTTTTCATGAAATTTGTCAACATTATAATTAACTTTTTTTACAGAATAATTAACACACTTTTATACAAACTTCATTTAATTTATTCTATCAAATTCATTCAAAAATTTACATTAAATTTATAATTTCACAAAACAACAACAGTATACAAAATAAACAAATAAACAAAAAATACTATATATTATACATTTCACAACAGTTAACAAAATATGATATCAACATGTAACAAAAAATGATTGCACCTTTAATTACTCGACAATTTGATCATTTTTTTTCATTTCGCTATCATTCAAAAACAAACGCTAAACAATAATATAAACGTACCCAAAGGATCCCATCTTCCACCATGTTTGATTAAAATTGATACGTAGTGGGAATTACTCGAATGTGGGAGTTTTTTTTGCAGAAAAATGAAGAGAGAGAATCGTTGAAAAAAAAATATCTGGTTTTTATATTTGATTTTAATTGATTTGAGTGAATTAAGGATACTAAATAATCTTAATTAGTTTAAATCCCTTATTTCGTGCTAATTATTTATTATCTACAATAAATTCAAATTAAATTAATACCACAATTTCAGTTTTTTACATGTTTCCATTAAAAAAATGTTTTTTTTTCTTTTATCTCTTTATTTTTTTAAAAAAAACTTTTTTTTAATTATTAAAAACAGTTTTTTTAAAAAAAATAATTTGTTAGAACCTGAAATTTTTAATGTTATAACTTGAAAGTCTAAATCTATTGCTATAGCTTGAAAATATTACTATAATATATGTCATATATGAAATTTACACCCAAAACAATGAAGTACCCGACCCTCAACCCTACAAATCCTGACCCATGATTCGACCTGAAACATGTCCCCGACCTAAGAATCATCCCCAATGCTAACCCAAGATCGAGATTCAGAACCTATCCCAACCATCTAACTCTAACCCAGGACCCGACTCCAACCCTGAGATCCAACCTTGAGATTTGGAGACTTTCGACTTGACCTTGAGACCCAACCCTGAGTTCCTAACACCCAACCTCCAAACTGAACTTGACCTAGACTCATACCTTGAGATTTGACCTTGACCTCGACCCTAAGAACCAAACCTAATCACTGACATCGTGACTCAACCTAACCCCAATACCCAACCCCGAGACTCAACTGCTAGACCCAACCCTGACCTGACCTCGAAACATGACTTCGATACCGACCCTGATCTCGAGATCCGCCCCCGACGTGATGACGAATTTCGTTTATCCCGAAATTTTGGTATATAATCATCGTAGCAGCTAAACTTTTTGTTGGAATATTTTCTCGTGGAGAACAAAAAATGTATAGAGTTCCATCCTAGTAAAATACTACCATTAAACAATTTTTTTTGTAAAGGCCTAGCCTGTTAATGATATTGTCCGCTCTAAGCCTAAGCCCGCACGACTTTAGAATGAGTATGTTTTTCTGATGTGGAATTTCTTAGGGAAAATTACATAAATGGGCCATAAAATTCAAAACAATTACAAGTTCATACTCAAATCCAAAGTAATTCCTAAAATACTCATTCTCTCATAAATAATTACAGTTCATACTCTTTTTCATTAAGGGTGATAATTTACGATTAACTGATATCATATATTGTATTGATATCATTAAGGTTGATAATTTTGCTTAACTGATACTAAATCAGTATATATATATACTGTATTGATATCATTAAGGTTTCTTGTTCAAAAATTAATTATTAGTCAATGATACTATAAGAGTATATATGTATATTGTTGTGGTATCATTAAGGTTTTTTGTTCAGAAATTACTCATTAGTCAATGATACTATAAGAGTATATATATTATGGTATCACTAAGATTTCTTGTTCAAAAATTACTCGTTAGTCAATGATACTATATTAGTATATATATATATATATACTCTTATAGTATCATTGACTAATGAGTAATTTCTTAACAAGAAACCTTAATGATACCAATACAGTATATATATACTAATTTAGTATCAATTCAGCGAAATTATCAACCTTAATAATACCAATACAATATATGATACTGATTTAGTATCAGTTAAGCGAAAATTTTCACCCTTAATGATACCAATACAGTATATGCTACTAATTTAGTATCAGTTAAGCGAAATTGGTAAGGGAGTATATAGTGTAATTATTTAGTAGGGTATGAATGTAAAGGGTTATATATTTGTAATTATTTTGCTTTTATGGGGTATTGGCTTAGTTTCCCCTTTCTTATCTTAAGAACTAAGAAAGGGTGTCACAGTTATAATGAAAATTATACCAAGTGCCGATAAGACTTTGATACCTTTTGTAACGTCCCAACTCGCTAGTGATATAGTTTGATTTGGGCCTAGTCCTGCATGACTTTACAACGCGTTACTAGTTAGTAAGACCTGCTTAATTATATACCCAACATCTCTTCTGTGTTTTGCCAAGGTAAGACTTCTTATCTTAAGTTACGGTGTGACAATTATAATGGATATTATACCAAGTTATTGAGTTTTAGCTGCACTTGTTTACAACATGTGGTTGGTGAGAACAGAATACACAAGGTAAACTAACTCCTATCGACAATCATTGTGAAGCTATTAATACAAACTTAATTTCAATCTCCTATGAGTGTCAAACCAATAGCTATAACAATTATAGTAGAGGGAACTCCAAATTTGAGATGAGTCCAGAATGAGAGATTGTACCCCGAAGGTTGAGCGCGACGAGCTTGTTCACATACTATCAAGTTTGCTGCTGACCCTAATAGTGAAAGGTTGCCAGCCACAGTACTAACCCAGGCTAAGATGAGCCATGCTTTCTTCTCACTTGCTGCAGATATAGCAGCAGCTGATGCACCTACCCGAACTCCCAGCAATAGAACTATCATCAAATTAACAAATTTGTATTGGTTAAATCAATCAAACTCTTATACATTCTATGTATGTTTAGGTTAATTAAGACCATAAGATTCAAGTCTTTCTTTACTTTCTTAAATTTTGTGTCAAGTCAAAACCAGACAAATAAATCAAAACGGAGAGAGTAGGAAGTACTAGTTGAGAGTGACAAACCGGTAGGCACATTAGAAGCCAAATTTGAGAGGACAAGTATGACAACAGCAAGAACTGCTACACCATCAGCATGATCTATCTTGGCATATGGTTCCATAAAATCCCAGAAAGCACTTGGAATCCCTGTTCTGTTAAATCCATCTACTGTGATAAACATACCACAGAAGAATATCAACAGCGAATACGATACCTGTCAAGTTGAGACACCACAATGAACAAATTAAACTTTTTTCTCACTAAACTAATATAACGTAGCTGGATGACCTGATAGTGTAAAAATTCTTTTAACATAGTCACTTCGTAGAAAAACACTATATAAATAGGTGAAAACTGTGTTGAACTTGACATGACAAGATGAAGAAATGTAAACACAAGGCTAAAGTACCTTTTCTAAGCATTCTCTAGCATCTTTGAAATCAACAACCACAAGAGCAAGTGCTGCTGTGATGGCAGTCCATGACATATTCAAACCCATCAATAAAGATATTAACATCCCAATTGTAACAAGATAAACACATATTTTCCATAACAATCTTCTCCATTTTTCGGAAAACTGCTTTTCCTCACAAGATGTGAAGTTTTGATCTTCACATTCATCGACAATCTTCAAAGATACATTCTTGTCCCTCATTTGAAGTGATCCATGATCATTTGCTGCTTCTCTCGAGGCATTAAAATTCCTAGAAGAATCAAACACCCCGTTTGGATCCTTCATGATTTCGTTTCCACTAAACTGATCTTGAGAATGTAACGAATTAACAACATGTGACATCGTTGCTGGCGCAAAACGATGAGAGACTACTTCTTCATCCAAAACTAATTCTACTTCAGCATTTTCGACATCCTTCTGAACAGACAACACATTCCAATACATGCAAAGCAACAATACAGTATTAACAACAACTCCAACAAACATTGCAGGAAATATACCAAATAAAAACCTCCCGAACGTGATCTTGCTCAATATTGCTATAACTTAGTTCTGAGGATTCCCAATAGGAGTTGCTGCAGATCCAATATTTGCACTAGACGCGAGAGCTAAAAGGAACGGATGAGGTGGGAGATTTTGTTGCCTAGCAATTTTCAGCACAAATTCAGTTAACACAACACAACTAGTATCATTAGTGAAAAAAGCACTTGAAATTGCAGAAACCAAACAGATTCTACAGAGTAAATCCTTAGCTCCCCTGCTTTTCCAAGCCAATAATTTTCCCAAGTACTTAAACATATCAGCTCTTTCTAAATAAATACTCACAACCATTGTTCCAAAGAGAAGTCCTAAAATTGGAAGATCAATAGCAGCATATGCTTCATCTGGTGTCAATACTCGAAATATTACGATTAGATTAGCACCAAGTAGTGATCCTGCAGTCCTTCCAATAGGCATAAATGGGACAGCAGGAAAAACTGCCAATATCCAAAATATTGCAAAAGCGATTGAACCAAGAATCACTCTCTCCGTCGATGCCATAGCCATAATCCTTCTTCAAGTTTTTTGTATCTTCACATTAGTAAACTGAATATACCTGAAATGTAAAAAGAGGCTAACAAACCTTAGATTTTTTGGTGCAAGGTGATGAGAAAATGACTAAGGAGGATAGACCTTACCTATGATATGTGAAAGTATCGACCTTATTTCATAGAGTCATTCGTTATGAAAGCTACGTGTTATAGAAGTTAATAGGTAAGTAGCTATCTAGCAAGTAATCTCTAATTTAAAGACTTTTCAGCACGCAAGTACATCTATTCACTAGGGACGTTGGTGGTTTGAATATTTGAGTATTTTAGACAGCAACTTCTTGAAAAGGAAACTAAATAGGACAAATTGAAATACTCATATACAAACACACTTTTTCTTTGACTTCTCTACCTTAGATCGCACTTATAAAATTACATTGCTACGTCGTTATTATATACTTTTTCTTGACTCATCACTCATTTGCCTGATTTGTATTTAATTTAACTCTTTCAACACTTACATAGTATTAATACGTACAATATATACTTCTAAAGAGTCGAACATGATCATGTCACTTTGTCCAAGAATTCTGTATTTTGCTGAATAATTTTTTTCTACTATACTTTTTGGTTAGTCTACTTTTTTCTTGTCTTGTTTGCTTTTAGGTTCAGAATCGTCAAAATTATTTATAATTAAACTCTAGTGAAGCACTTATATGTTCTACGTTATGTTTCAACTTGACATAAATTGATTAAATTAGCTATAAACTTTTACAGTATAGCAATAACAATTTAAGAACCTTTATCAGATAATATTTAGATTTCCAACTTGGTATATAACATAGTAGTAAATTTAATTCGAAAGTTGAAAATATAATTTTAAAATTTAATATTACTAATTAAAAAACAACACGCACAGAGGTAAAGTATACAAGTACGGTATAAATTAATGATCCACTTATAGATCAAACGTGTGTGTGCGTACACACTCACACATACATAACTTAATTAGCTAGGATGTATTTATTTTATGACACTAGTTAAGCCATTTACTATTAAAGATGATTTCTCTGCTGGCCACAATGATCTACATTAAGAAGATATTTTGTATAACGTTTTTTTTTCTTTTTCTTTTATTATATTTTAGAAACTTAAGTAAAATTTTCGAAATCTTTCGTAAGCACTGACTTGATTAAATCTGTCGGGAGAAGAAATTTTCATTTTTAAAAATATATCATTTTAGATTAAGAAAGCTTCTCTACGTCTATGACCTTCATTTGCAAAAAAATCTGTGTGAAATATATTTATATAGGTGATTTAAAAATCAAAGTCCTCGCTCAATTTTGAGAAACAATTATTATCTCCCCTTTATCCTATGCAAAGTCTATTATACCATTGTTGTATTCAAAATCTTTGTATTTATAGATTTTTATTAAGTTCATTAACTTTATAAATAAAATAATTCTTTTATAAGTTTGCTGTAAAATCTAATGTTATTTCTTTATGTTGTTAGTTTGATATCACATATATTAAGTACGTATGTATGAGTGTGTAATGTATTGTGTGCGTGCATAGTTAATTTCGGCATAAAATCATCTCGAGTGTATCTCATGTTAATTGTCATGTAGAATGTGCATGTTTACTTGTTCAACTTTATATATAAGTTCACGTGTCTACTCGTACACGCCTAAATTTGGAGGGTGTAGATCATAGTTGAAGTCAAGTTAAACGGACAAATTTATGTGATTATGCGTACCTCTTTTTATCTATTATCTAGGTAGATAAAATGAATTTTCATTGTCATTAATGAAATATTTTCCAAATTATAATTTAAATCTATTTACAATATATAGATAATCTTTTAAAAAAAATTGTTATGAAATTTATTTTTATTTTTATTAATTATTTTTTGTTACTTGCATCATATTGTAGATTCTGTTGAAACTAATAACTTTATTTTTTAAATTCTGTTCATTTGTTTCATTGACATTATATTATATATTCAATCAATATTTTCTCTCTTTTTTTTTTGGACGAAATTCATATTTTTTATAGAAAAATTGTTATATAGATTAAAATATAAAAATATTATGATTTTAAAAAAAAGTATTAAAAAAATAAAGGTTGATAATGTAAAGGTAGAATAAACATTTTAAAAAGTCAATTAGGAAAATGGGGAGAATAATTATTTCTCAAAATTAAGGGGGAGTTTGATTTTCAAAATAAAATTTAGGAGTAAAAATGATCTTCATCTATATATATATATATATATATATATATATATAGTTGTACATACAAGTGAGAGAGCATAGACTCATGTCCTCAAAATCTTATAACTGTTTAGTACAACTTATAGAACCTATGAAAGTTGTACTATTTTCTGTCTTTAATTATTATTATTATTATTTTAACTCCTGTCTAATAGCTCCATTTCTTTTTTACTCTTTTAATAATTTGAACTCATGATTTTAGATTGAAAGTGCAGGGTTTTTACTTTTCCTCTAATCAATATGTGCTGTTGGAACTTATTCTTATGTGTTACTTTATATATGATGTCCAAATCAAAGAAAATGGGTGGTATAACTCTGTCATCAACAAGATTTGAACGGATGGAAAATAAGAATTTTATTTTCCCTTTGTCTTTCAGTATATTATATTCTTTAAGAAAATTATAGACTTGATGAATGTTTGATTTGTTCTCTTCGTTCTTTTTTCTTTAGTGAAATGTCAAAACATATTTAAATTATTCTATTTATTTGAATTTTATATCTAAACTATTGAGAAGGTGAGTTTCATACCTAAAATATCACTATTCACTCATTAGTCATATGTTTGAGAAACACACATCAGTGATGTGTGTAATACACTTTCTCTTCTTTTTTTAAAAAAAAACTTGTCATATGTCATTTAACATGGATAAAACATTCCACCTTTACAAAAATTAAACAAACTATTAATATTAGTTAAAAGTTAAAAATTAAGTATCACTATTTCAAAAAAAAAATTAAAACCATTTTTCATATTTCATTTTTTAAAAAAATGCTTAAAAACATGATATACACTTTTGAACACCCAATATACAATATTATATAACATTATAAGAGATATTTATACACAATAATAATATACAATTATTATACATTAATATACAAAAACACACTTCGTCCTCTTCCTTTTATTCAAGCATCAAATTCATTCAAAAACACCTCAAAAATTGCATCAAATCACCCAACAATTTATATTTGGACCCCTCAATACGTAATCGATCTTTTGCAACAATCTCACTTGAAACAAAGCTTATTTGCGAAAAATTAATTTTTAAATTTTGAAGCTTCGAGCTTCAACTATGGTTGTCTATGACTTCAACTACGTCAATAGTACTTCATAGTAACTCTATTAACAGAAATAATATGTAACACTCCAGAAATTTTTTGAGCTAAGACATGAACCATATTCTTTGTGAGTAGGATTTCACCGAGGAATTAAAATTTCTTAACTGTTAGTTCACTAGATGTAGCACCTTGAGTTCGAAAAAGAACTAAATTGGAAATAGCAAAATCTGAAATTTTGCAAGTTATGCTAAGTTATGAGTTTTGGGTCAACTTTAAATGATCATAACTCCTAGCACGGGATGAGTTAGATGTGCTACAAGATACCGTAGGAAAGACCTTTGAATTATCTTTCCAACGCCGCCGAGTTTACTAAGTTTTGAGGTAAGATGAGTGAGATATGACCTTTTGAAGTTAGGATGTCTAGTTAAGGAAAATTAGCCGAAAATAGTAAGGAGTATTTTGGTCTTTTTCTTACCCAATCAGATTTAAATCATTTTTAGTAAGGTTTTAAGGGTCTAATCCTATTAGGTTCAGTTTGATAATCCTAAAATACGCCTAGGGTTTTAGTTGAGAGTTCAAGAAGAGAAAAAAAGAGAGAAGAGGAGAAAAAAGGAAAGGATGAAGGCGTTCGTCGACATTCATGAGAGTTGTTGTGGATTGTCGCCATGGATTTGATCCCTAAAAGGTATGTAAGCTTCCATAGTGTTGGGTTTGTTCACCCACACGCCAAACATATTATTCAGCAAAGTTTCATTCTCAAAAAGTTGAAGGATTTAAGTTCTTTCTAAATCTTGTTATGTTGGGTTTTTGATGATTTCTTGAGATCAAAGTGAGTGTTTTAAGGGCTGTATTGAGTAGATTAGAGTGTACTTATGTTAATTAATTGATTCTAAGTGATTGGGGAGTAAACTGTTTGATTCTAGGTGAGTTAGGGTGGGAAAACGAGCAAAGAAAGTCGTCGAAATTTTTTGGGTTGGGGCCTGGCGTATCACGCCAGCCAAAGCGCCCCAAACACTTCTCTGAATGTTAGGGGCTGGTGCCCCGCACCACTCAGAGCGCCAGGGGCGCCTGCCCCCACCCGTTCATTATCGTTTTGTCCGTTTGAGTTCTTTCAAAGGGTACTTTTACTCCCCTTTGATTCTAAACTACTTCTAAACACCTAGAAATCATTCATAACATGATCATAAACTTGAATTCATAATTCAAATTCAAGTAGAGTTTAGAGTTAAGTTTTGAGAAGAATATTCTAGGAAAGTCCCTTTGAGTTCTTTTGAAGAGTCTTCTACCACTTCTAGTAACTTGTTTCAAGACTCGAGTAAGTGAGTATGAGAGTGAGGAGAATGTATTCATGAGTCTACACTATCATCTATATCCTTCATATCATGAGTCATAACTCTTGAATTCATAATTCACATTCAAGAAAGAGTTAAGAGTAGAGTTCAAGAAAGTCTTTGAGTTCAATTGTGAATGCTTTGAGATCAACTATTGATTTGAACTAAGTTTTGAGGAAGTAAGTAAGAGAATGAGAAGAGTCGTATACATGAGTTCCATATTGATATTTTGACTCTTGAGTTAAGTCGTTTATGCCGATAACTTCTGCATGAACTCCATCAGTTTAGTATCTTTGAAAGAAGTAGTATCTTCAAGTTCTAAGTATTGAGTAATGAGTTCCTAATCCCATTTGAGATTATATTTCTAATCATGGGACTATTACATGTTACCCATGAAGTCTTTGAGTTGAATTGTTCATGCCCATAATTCCGCATGAACCCTATAA